TGTTTTTACTATAGAAAAATTATAACAGACTTGCTTATTTTGATAATAAGAGTGTCATTGAGGAAATCTTCTCTACAAAACAAGTTGACGATAAACGCTTAAGAATTGACGTTGCTGCTATACGCGAATCGCTTGAAAATCATAATGTTAAGAACATTCTGTGGTGCAAAGGTGAACAGCAACATACTGGCAGACAGTATGACAAAACAAGGAGCTTCAGGATACAGTCTTCTCAGTGTATTACACTATGGACAAATGTGACATTAATTGTGTTTTATCAAACTGTTACTTATATTTACATTATTTTAATTGACAATCTAATTGAAGACATAATTATTAAAAAGAAACAAAACAAAACACAGCGAAAAGAAGAAAAAAAATGAAAATATAATTAATGTTATTGAATCATTTTAATATTAATACTTGCTAACCCCTTATCCAAGGGAGATAATTATTATTTCATATACTCTCTAAAATAGAGATTACATCTGGTTATGGCAGAATAAAGTTATGGTTGAGTGTATTCTGTGTCAGTTTGAGTGTAAGGCAGTTTAACAGTGGGATGGAGCGGTTCCAAATCTAGGGCGCCTTCCACAATTTGTAGAGTGGCCCACAGCTTCTATTATCTGTACTATACTATTCAAAAAAAGTAGGGGATATTTGATTTTGGGGGCATAATACTAAAATATGCAAATGACTACGAAAAAAGTCACTATAGAACCTAACAGAAGAAACATTTCCAGTTACATGTGACGCCAAAACGCACCAATAGCTACCGCAAGGAATGCAGGTGATGCTTGGGATCATCATGGGGGTCCAACCCAAGATTTGCACGACTCTGACTTTGAATGTTACAGTCATTGTGGCATTGAATTCCAGGGTGGAAACATCAGTTTAATTGTTTTAGTCACCAGAAAACAAATTTTGATATGCGTCGGCTTACCCAAAATGAAAGGTTGCGTGCCCTTGGCATGCTACAGATCGGCACAACACAGGCGGTTGTGGCGCGGACGATGAATGTTTCTCAGTCTGTCATAAGCAGGCTATGGACCAGATACCGTGATACACAATCTGTACAGGACAGACCACGCTCAGGTCGACCAAGGGCGACAACTCAAGCCCAGGATCGATTTATCCGTACCTTGGCCTTGAGAAATCGTGTCATCACAGCAAATCAGATCAGCGCTCGTCTTCAAACAGACACTGGTGTGAGAGTGAGTGGCCAGACGATTCGGAATCGACTGCATAGGGGTCACCTTCGCGCCCGACGTCCTCGCGTGATCCCTTGTTTGAGAGATCATCACATTCAGGCAAGACGTCGTTGGTGTAGGGATCGTCAACACTGGGATAATCGACGCTGAAGCAATGTGATGTTTTCAGATGAGTCAAGGTTCACTGTTGATTTTTTGGACAGACGTAGGAGGGTGTGGCGTCGTCGAAACGAGCGCTTCCAAGACGTTAACGTCATCAGACATGATCGATTTGGGGGTGGTTCTGTTATGGTGTGGGGAGGCATCACTGTTGCTGGAAGAACGGCTTTACATGTTGTTGCAGGGCGTGTTACAGGCCAGTACTACCGGGACAACATCTTGGCAGTCCATGTTGTGTCGTTCGCACGACGTCATGGCCGCCGTTTCATCTTCCAGGATGACAACGCAAGATGTCACAGGGCCAGGATCGTTACAGGTTACCTCCAACAACAGAACATCACCACATTACCTTGGCCAGCACTGAGTCCCGACCTCTCCCCCATCGAGCATGTCTGGGACATGCTTGGACAGAGGTTACGTCAACGTCAACAACGTCCTGCCAATGTCCAAGAACTTGCTGCTGCGTTGCAACAGGAATGGGACAATCTGGACCAAAATGACCTTAGACGTCTCATTAGGAGTATGCCACGTCGGATCAATGCTTGTTTGGCAAACAGAGGAGGATTTACCCGTTACTGACTTGGTTGTGATGCTGTGGTAACTTTGCTGTTTGACCCCGGGTATCATTTTACCCTTATAATGGTCAGTCTGTGCCTTACTTAGTCTAACGATCATTTGGAATAAATCGATGAATGTGAACTTCATTTCATTTTGTCATTTCTTTCTTCGTCAGTTTCATTAGGTGACTTTAATAACACTTAAAAATCAAATATCCCCTACTTTTTTGGAATAGTATATATAAACTGACCTGTTTTAACAGCATGTTGTCACGCGGATCAAAACTTCGATTATGAGAAAAGTGCTCTCACGGGCTCGCTCGTGCACTGTAAGCAGCAAACCGTCGCCCAAAATAGACATTCACGTGACAATATTCATTCACTTATTTATCAATGAAGCCATGTAAAAAAATTATTCTTTACTCGTTGGACTTTTAAAAATAAGAAGTTAAGAACTAGATTAAAATTTTGGCTAAAACTCGGCGATTTAATTTCTAAGTTAGTTGATTGTAACCAATGACGTATATATTGTAACGGTTCTCGTTTCAGAGTCAACTCATGTAGTTTCGCCCTTTTTCTATCTTTTAAATCCACTCTCGTGGCAACGTACCGACACTGCAAGACTGTGAAAGTTACTTTTATTTAACCGTAAAACTCTGTTGTTAGTGGGCGCTTTAGTTACTTTAGAAGTTACATTGTTGCTAGCTCTAAATACGCAGAAAAAATTTGAGACTGGAAATTAATTGAACGAAATTATTTTCCCAAGTCTCGATTAACCAGACGTGTATGATTAAAATAAAATTACGGTACTGGTCACAAGACTCGGATTCTAATCATTTTAGGGCGCTGCGAATTTGGCCTCCGGTTTTGTGTCAAATTTAATAGGAGGATGTGCCATTATTGCTATGCCATTCGTGTTTAGTATCCTTATGCATTTGCCATTTCTAACATGGTGGTTACAAAACGTTTCAGTTATTATAAATCCAGTAACAACTCATTTTTGACTGTTTCATAATTATCATAGGCGTGCGGGCTCGATGACAGTTAGGGGGGGGGGGGGCAGAACCCGAAATGCCCGAAAAAATTTCGGTGTCGGTCTTCCTCGAGAGGCGAAGAAGCGGAGCTTACCTTGTATGCCCCCCCCCCCCCCCAAGAAAATTTTGGAATATTTGACGTTTTCCTGCTATTTCAGCCCGTGAACAAGCCACTTCAATGTGGTCTAATATAGCCTAATGACAATGGCTGACTCGAATTCCAATCAAAAGATCAACCGTTGGGAAAAAAAACTGCCGCAAACGCTTTTTCCTGTTATTCCAGCCTGTGAATACAGCAACGTCAATTCGGTCCAATATAGCCTACCTGGCTGACCCGAATTCCAAACAACCAATCAATCGTCGCGGGTTATGGGGGCCTCACCCTCCCAGAGAAAATTTTGAAAGTTTAACCACCGCAAATGCGTTTTCTGCTATCCTAGCCCGTGAAAGCAGCTTCAAAAGTATCCAATGGTTTTGTAACCAAAATCCAATTCTGAATTCCAACCATCCAATCAGACTGTTGCAGTTGCATTCACAAATAATAATCGATGCCAGAAAAATGTCGCACAAAGAATGGCTCTAGACAAAATGTTTTAATCCATAGTCAACTCAGTACAAATTCGTTGTATTCAATTAAAAGAAAAAAAATTAGTGTTTTATTAGGGATCGATGACAGTTAGGGAAGCAAAACTAGAAATGCCCGAAAAAATTTCAGGTTTACAGACAGCGCGCCCGTTTTCTTCGAGAGGCGAAGAAGCGGGGCTGACCTTGTCTGGACCCCCCAAAAAAGCAAAACTAGAAATGCCCGAAAAAATTTCAGGTTTACAGACAGCGGCGCCCGTTTTCTTCGAGAGGCGAAGAAGCGGAGCTGACCTTGTCTGGACCCCCAAAAATTTTTTGGAATACTTGACGGCCGCAAGTGCGTTTTAGCGCTATTCCAGCCCGTAAAATTAGTGTTTTATTAGATTTAGGGAACTTTATTTTGCCAAATAGATGAAATAATTTTTTTTTTCATTTTACCCGTCTGCCCGAAAATTCAGCTTGCCCAAAAGTTAGGGGGGCAGCTACCCCCCCCCCCCCGCCGGCTCATACGCCTATGATAATTATTAAAAATATTAAAACGCGACACGATGCGTAAATTGTGCGTCTTACTTTCGAGAACAATAGCTATAAAACAGAAATTTCCAGATTGATACATAATACGACACAACCAACCATAAGTGGTAATTCAAACACAAAGGATATATTTAAACTTAAATTTCTCTAACATTTCACTAAAAGATCCCTATTGCAGAACTCCCAACTTATTATGTAGTCATTGTCATGCCGGTTGTTTTTAATAACAGAATTTTCCAGTCATATAACAGATCAAAGAATTTTTCGAGACGCATTGTCACGTATCGACTTCTATTTTTGGATTATCTGGCGCCACACATAGCCCAATCATATCAAAAAGCATGCAGTTCCACCTTGAAATGGGTTCAATTGATTTACGGTTTATTCTATAATTTATAACACGGTTTAGAGCACAATGTATAGGAGTCGCATTTTTGACTTCTAAGTAGATTCTTATACGGAATTCCGGATGCAATGCTAGACATTTGGACCACTGTTGCCGAACCGATTTGAAAATGCTTAAGGCTTTTTTTTCTTTGCGCATGTCGTGTGCTCCTCTGTTTTTGATGTGTATGATTTTTATTTTTGTGATAATTATTTGAAACAAAATAGGATTATCATAAAGGATATTTAACATCTACAATATGAGTACGGTAAGCACTCTCTACGTACTGCGTTTGTAAACCACGAAATTCACCCCTTATTAGAAAGTTTCAACTATAGTCTATTGCATGTAAACGTTAAAAAAATCAGCTCGAAATACAGACATCTCTCTTTCTCTCGCTGCGCACGCGTACAAATGTTAAATTCAATCGTTAAATGTGCGTACGTAAAAAAACGAAGAAAGCCGACTGCGGAAAATAAGAATTCGTTTTCCAGAACAAAATTTGAAACTTTGATGTGACCAAGAAACATAACTCTTTTTAATGAAAAAATCTACCCCTGTAACGTTACTTGGGCGATCAACTTTTCCATATAATTAGAAAGTCCCATTCAAATGGCCAAATCACACAAATATCCAACTTAGCAATAGTTTACTTGTTGATGAATGATGATTTTAATGGTAAGTCTTATCATATTTGTTAAAATAAGCCCCAAATATAGCTCGTTTATTTCATTTTTGTTATTTGCACGAACCACTCTACCACAATCACAACCCAGAATGAATGTCAACAAAATACTGGCTATAATTTATTAACACTGGCCGTCCCGGTAGAACACAGATCGTATTGTCAGATACTGAGATAGTTGTTCGCCGACCGTTATCTCGTCGGAAAGCAGTTTTATTCAAGTTGACAAAGTATGTCATATAATATAATGATTGTTATTGATTTTGTAGTAGTAGTAGTAGTAGTTCTTGGTGTTTAACGTCTGCTTCCACATAAGTGTATTGATTTTGTAATCGGAGTGGATATTTAACCGTATACGGCAAAGTATCTACTTCCGCTATTTTACCGTACATGGTTTCTGATTGGCTGGAATATAGTGACGTCATCAAGTGTCAGTTCCTGGATTATTTGACCGTACATGAGATGAATTTAACCGTATACGGACGGCTATCTTAAAAATCAGTATTAATTCCAAAATTTGAAAATAAATTAAGAACACACTATTGTAATTATTTTAATTTAATTTCCCATTTTGATGGATTAGACCAGCGGCTGCCAGGCAGGATACGCCCACATTTTCGAGAGATTGATAGAGAATAAGCAAAACAGAAAGTGATTTTTCGTACAATCAAAGGCCATAATTCATAAAATTACAATTCGACATGCGCAAATATGGAAAGGAACCGAGATCTTTGGGTTATAAACTCACATTTCAAGTTTCAACAAAATCGGATATAAAATTGTGACCTCTATAGGGTACACAATCTTGATATACCATATTTTTTTTACCTTATTTGAGAACAAGGGGCAGCTATTTTGTCTGTCAGTTTTGGGCTGATTGTCACGAAATTCGAACACAGCCGTCCTTAGGGTGTAAGGGTGATATAATAATACTGTTTTTTAAATCGGATAAAAATTATGACCTCTATAGGGGCCCACAAGCTAAAAATGCGATTTTTTGTACAATCAGGCGCCATAATTCAGGAAGTTACATTCCGATATGCGCGAATATCGAAAGGAACCGAGATCTTTGGATTATAAACTCACATGTCAAGTTTCAACAAAATCGGATAAAAATTATGACCTCTATAGGGTCCACAACCTTGATATACCATATTTATACGCTATTTGAAAACGAAGGGCGGCCATTTTGTCGAAATTCAAACTCAGCCGTCCTTAGGGCGTAACGGTGATATAATAATACGTTTTTTTTAAATTGGATAAAAATTAAGACCTCTATAGGGTCCACAAGCTAAAAACGTGATTTTTCGTACAATCAGGGGCCATAATTCAGGAAGTTACATTCCGATATAAGCGAATATCGAAAGGAGCCAAGATCTTTGGGTTATAAACTCACATTTCAAGTTTCAACAAAATCGGATAAAAATTGTGACCTCTATAGGGTCCACAATCTTGATATACCATATTTTTTACCTTATTTGAGAACAAGGGGCGGCTATTTTGTCTGTCAGTTTTGGGCTGATTGTCACGAAATTCGAACACAGCCGTCCTTAGGGTGTAAGGGTGATATAATAATACTGTTTTTTTAAATCGGATAAAAATTATGACCTCTATAGGGCCCACAAGCTAAAAATGCGATTTTTTTGTACAATCAGGGGCCATAATTCAGGAAGTTACGTTCCGATATGCGCGAATATCGAAAGGAACCGAGATCTTTGGGTTATAAACTCACATTTCAAGTTTCAACAAAATCGGAAAAAAATTATGACCTCTATAGGGTCCACAACCTTGATATACCATATTTTTACGCTATTTGAGAACGAAGGGCGGCCATTTTGTCTGTCAGTTTTGGGCTGATTTTCACGAAATTCAAACTCAGCCGTCCTTAGGATGTAACGGTGATATAATAATACAGTTTTTTAAATCGGATAAAAATTATGACCTCTATAGGGTCCACAAGCTAAAAACGCGATTTTTGGTACAATCAGGGGCCATAATTCAGGAAATTACGTTCCGATATGCGCAAATATCGAAAGGAACAGAGATCTTTGGGTTATAAGCATACATTTTAAGTTTAAACCACATCGGATAAAAATTGTGACCTTTACAGTGTTCATAAGCTAAAAACGTGATTTTTCGTACAATCAGGGGCCATAATCCATGAAGTTACAGTCCAATATGCCAATATCGAAAGGAACCGAGATCTTTGGGTGATAAACCTATATTTCAACTTTCATTGAAATTGGATAAAAATTGTGACCTGTAGACTGTTCACAAACAATTGTGGATGGACGGACAGGGGCGACAACAATATACGTCCACATGAAAATGTGGGCGTATAAAAAATGGGTTAGGGTTAAAATTTATCTCCTATTTTCAGAACATCTGTACTTTCCGCCATTTTGAATAAGGTATGACATCATCATACAAATTAGCCAATCAGAAACGATATACTTTGCCGTATACAATTAAATATCCACTGCCTTTTGTAATTAAATTTATGTGAACCTTAGGGGCAGTGGCTATAACACTGAGCAAACTGAGAAAAAATTTGAAAAATTGAACCAATATCTTGGCACTTGGTGATTGCTGGGAGCAAATTCTAGTGAATAAGAGAACCAGAAATAGGAGTCAATGGGACAGAATCTCGAAATCTGCCCCTGTCAATTCCGCCTGTTTTGCCAGAACATTTGTACAGTCTGACGCCCCACGCACTGGTGGTACTACTAACTGGGCAGTTCACTATAACCGTAAATATGACAGTGCTGGGGCAGTATAAGACCATAGAGGAGTGGAAGAATGATGCCATAATGGAATCTAGCCGCGCAATTCTACAGTCTGTCGCCCCACTCACTAGTGGTACTACTAACTGGGCGATTCCCTGTGAATATAATAGTGATGAGATTGTATAAGATAAAGGAGTTAAAGAATAATGACTTTAGATTATGTAACTGAGCTTTTAATTTTTTGGGATTGGGCACCAGGGGACTTGGTCTCTGAAATGTCATTTACTGGACTTTGGGATCTGGGGAAAGGTTTTGCAGAATTCTGATGGTCAGAAAATACTTACAACATGAGTAAAATACGTTTTAATTTCTACTGGGATTAAATATGCAATAAGTAAAAATTCTTAAGTTCGATAGATCGCCTTGACATTTCATAATTTAAAGATTTTTTTTTTACATATTTCTGAAAAAAACTGTGCTTCCGATAACTTCTTACCAACTGTTCGACTAATGTTATTCGTATGACAATCAATAATATAATTTAAGTATCAAAATCCTCGTAACAAGCTCTCTAAATTTCTTAGACCAACATACTCATAACAGGGAATTTTTGTTTTGAAACATGAAAAGTTGAGTATACCGTTGCAATTTAGGTGCACGCATTCACACAAAATTTTTTCTTTCTGTTTTGGCATTGTTTACCTCACAAGTGAGCACTAGGAGTTCATCTATATTCACTGGTTTGAGGGGCTACCAACCGACTTATTTCAATGCTTTCCTGAACCCCTTGTGCATCGCTGAGATCCCAGTTTTGATGTCCTCCAGCTACATCGGACATATTGTACGAGAATTGTTTTCGTCTTCCTCCGCATATTAAGTATTTGAGGTTTTTCCCTTCTATTCTGTGATATCACCTCGGTGGAAGCGGACGTCAAATACAACAAACAAACAACATATTCTGGCATTATTTGTTTACCCCATTAATTCATTTGGTCAGTCGCCGATGCATAATTTTGAGACCGAATGCAGTGAACAACTATTTTTTTTCCTGGGGGAAAATATTTTACTTAGACCAACTCACAACAGAATAAGGGTAAAAAAACATTTTTTCAAACATAAGTTGACAAGTTTTGGGTGAGTAGCGTGATTTTGGCATTGTTTGTATTAATTCAACGAGCACTTATTTTGACATCGACTGCACTTATTTTGCAACCGACTGCATTTATTTTGCGACAGACTATTTTTTTCGCTGTTATTCCTAGATCACACCACCAACCCAACAATTTCGTGACTAACATGATCATTTTTTTTCTTTAATTCAACAATTATCTTGAATTGTAGGTACAGGGCAAATGATGTAAAGCAAGAATGCAATAAAAGATGTACTGTTTATTTTCCACTCTCGATTTGTTTCCACTCAATAAACATAGTCTATATACTATTATCCAAGAAACTAATAATTTAGATTTACAACTGAAAATGTGTCGGAAATGGAATTTTTGTCATTATGATAATTACAATATTCTAGTAGTAATTAGACCTCAAAATAGTCTGAACATGAGCCATATAGTGTTTTATCATCGATAAATATCCAACAGATAATATACAAAATATCACCAAAACAATTGTGTACAGATCACATCTGCTACAATTAAAGTTCATAGTTAATTATCTAATAATTTGTTATAATCACTGTAGAAGTCCTAGTTTTCTCTTGAGGGACTCAGGCATCTCTGGTGGTGGTGGACGTGGCAGTCTAAAGAATACCTTTACACTATCATAGATAAACCATTGTAATGCAGTCAATGTACCAATCATAATAATCCTAGGTCCAAGACCCTTCCACATTCCTAAAAAAAAAAAAACAAACAACAAAGTTAGTCAGATTATTACTTGAAAATAGGACTAGATTCGTCACTTCAATTATTATACTGGTGGAAAAATTGTAAATAATACTAATAGCTTCAATCCAGGTGTCAGGACTGCTATTGCTTTACGTCCTATGCAACCAGTACATGCATGTGATTACCTAGAGCCATTTTATTATGCTTATATCTCAGCAACTACTTGTCACATCGTTACGGGGTCTTCGGTTTTACTGAAAAACTGGAAAAGTGGGTGTGACTTAGAGGATAAAGCTATCTTGAACGTCCTGCGACAATGCAAAATGTCCGAAATCACCAAAGTTGTCGTTTTTAAAAATATTGTCTTAATTTTAACAATAACCGTTGGATTTTAACTTTCAATACATTGTGGCATAGCCTGAGACAGGGCACACAGTTTGTGCTACTTTTGATTTTCTGCAAATCTTCGTAGATCATAAAGCGCCAAATTTAGAAAATTTAAATTTTTCCAAATTTTTTTATATTTATGATTATTTTTGATGGTATTTTACACAGGATTAAAGAGTCATCATACTTGAGCAAAAATGTAAAAACATTTGGGCTCAGTAATTTACGTTAGCCGCCATTGGCTAATTTAGTTTTTCAGTCCTAGATTAATTATTTATAGTTGGGTTAGTATAAAACAAAGTTCATATGCTTTGTGGTCTCAATTGTCATTTTTATTTGTTACCGATAGTTTCCCATCGGCATCGGAAGTGACGTAATTTTACCAAAAACTACAATTTTGACAGTTTGGTACCACTTTTTGAAAACAAATATTTTTTTTTCCAAATCTGATATAACTAAAAGGGTTTGCCCTATTCTTGAGCTCAGATTTTTTAATTTGATTTAATTTCTCCTTCAATTTCGATTAAAAAGTGAAAAAAGGCGTAAATTTTAAAATATTTCTTTGTAACTTTCATAAACTGGTAGCAATAATCCATACGAAGAGAATGTATGCGAAAAATAGTTTGTAATATGAGCAGCTGCCGGGAAATAGGCAATTTTCCATGCATACTTTTCACGCTATTTTGCCTGTAAAAGAATGAATTATTCGATTTTCAATATTTTTTTACCATTTGATGCCCAATGCCAATCTTGACTAGGTCAAACCAATTTAACATTTTCAGTGTCACCGGAAATGACGTCATTTCTGCAAAAACTGTATTTGTACAGGATCCCATTCCTAGTTGCCAAGGAATACTGTGTGAGTTGGATTACGCAACAGAGTGTGTATTTTTGTGGGGGGTTTTACGCAAAAGAGCGTTTTTTTGTCCAGTTTTTTGCATTACATAGAAATCGTAGATATCTGTGCTGCAGTTCAGTGTTTTTGATCATAATCTGTGGTTTGATGAGTGTACAAAATGTAGTAGTGACTCGGATGATGATGTCGCCTGTCTAACCTCGTGGGTTTTCTTCGGGTCCTCCTGTTTCTTCCCACTGCTGTTGTAAAGTTATTGGATATTTTCAAAAAAAAAAATCTGTATTGTGTACCAAAGAGATGCCTCTGAAAACAGCATACTTCATTTCTAACATTCTGCATCAATAAATATTTTTTATTGCACTCAGAAGTGTGAACTTTTTTTTTTTTCATGTAAAAAAATATTTCCCTTATTTTCTTTACCGATACAGAAAGCCCTTTTTATACTCTTTCTAAATATATATACTTTGTAGGGTTTGTCATTGTCAGAAAATACTTTTTCCCCACATTTTTGTATTTGGAACCAATTTCCGTCGCAATGCTAGGAATTAGGCTTATGCCCTAAAGGGGTTTGAGAACAAACCAGCGGCTGCCAGGCAGGATACGCCCACATTTTCGAGGGATGGATAGAGAACAAGCTAAAAAGAAAGTGATTTTTCCTACAATCAAGGGCCATAATTCAGGAAATTACAAATTACATGTACAAGGAACAGAGATCTTTGTGTTATAAACTTACAAATAAAAATTGTGACCTCTATAGGGTACACAACCTTGATATACCATATTTTTAGGCTATTTGAGAACGAACGGCGGCCATTTTGTCTGTCAGTTTTGGGCTGATTTTCACGAAATTCGAACTCAGTCATCCTTACGGTGTAACGGTGATATAATAATACGTTTTTTTTTAAATCGGATAAAAATTATGACTTCTATAGAGTCCACAAGCTAAAAACGCAATTTTTCATACAATCAGGGGCCATAATTCAGGAAGTTACGTTCCGATATGTGCGAATATCGAAAGGAACCAAGATCTTTGGGTTATAAACTTACATCTCAAGTTTCATCAAAATAGGATTAAAATTGTGACCTCTATAGGGTCCACAACCTTGATATACCATATTTTTACGCTATTTGAGAATGAAGGGCGGCCATTTTATCTGTCAGTTTTGGGCTGATTTTCACGAAATTCGAACTCAGCCATCCTTAGGGTGTAACGGTGATATAATAATATATTTTTTTAAATAGGATATAATAATACGGTTTTTTAAATCGGATAAAAATTATGACCTCTATAGGGTCCACAAGCTAAAAGCGCAATTTTCCGTACAATCAGGGGCCATAATTCAGGAAGTTACGGTCCGATATGTGCGAATATCTAAAAGAACCGAGATCTTTGGATTATAAACTTACATATCAAGTTTCAACAAAATCGGATAAAAATTGTGACCTCTATAGGGTCCACAACCTTGATATACCATATTTTTACGCTATTTGAGAACGAAGGGCGGCCATTTTATCTGTCAGTTTTGGGCTGATTTTCACGAAATTCGAACTCAGCCATCCTTAGGGTGTAACGGTGATATAATAATATGTTTTTATAAATAGGATAAAAATTATGACCTCTATAGGGTCCACAAGCTAAAAACGCGTTTTTCGTACAATCAGGGGCCATAATTCAGGAAGTTACGGTCCGATATGCACGAATATCGAATAGAACTGAGGTCTTTGGGTCATAAACTTACATTTCAAGTTCCAACAAAATCGGATAAAAATTGTGACCCCTATAGGGTACACAACCTTGATATACCATATTTTTAGGCTATTTGAGAACGAACGGCGGCCATTTTGTCTGTCAGTTTTGGGCCGATTTTCACGAAATACAAACTCAGTCATCCTTAGGGTGTAACGGTGATATAATAATACGTTTTTTTAAATCGGATAAAAATTATGACTTCCATAGAGTCCACAAGCTAAAAACGCAATTTTTCGTACAATCGGGCCATAATTCAGGAAGTTACGTTCCGATATGCGCGAATATCGCAAGGAACCGAGATCTTTGGGTTATAAACTTACATTTCAAGTTTCGTCAAAATAAAATTAAAATTGTGACCTCTATAGGGTCCACTACCTTGATATACCATATTTTTACAATATTTGAGAACGATGGGCGGCCATTTTATCTGTCAGTTTTGGGCCGATTTTCACGAAATTCGAACTTAGCCGTCCTTAGGGTATAACGGTGATATAATAATACTGTTTTTTTAAATCGGATAAAAATTATGACCTCTATAGGGTCCACAAGCTAAAAATGCGATTTTTCGTACAATCAGGGACCATAATTCAGGAAGTTACGGTCCGATACACGCGAATATGGAAAGGAACTGAGATTTTAGTGTTATAAACTTGCATTTCAAGTTTCAACAAAATCGGATAACCAGCGGCTGCCAGGCAGGATACGCCCACATTTTCGAGAGATGGATAGAGAACAAGCTAAAAATCTGTAGGTTATAAACTTATATTTCAAGTTTCAACAAAATCGGATAAAAATTGTGACCTCTATGGGGTCCACAACCTTGATATACCATATTTGTACGCTATTTTAGAATGAACGGCGGCCATTTTGTCTGTCAATTTTGGGCCGATTTTCACGAAATTTGAACTCGGCCATCCTTAGGGTGTAACAGTGATATAATAATACGGTTTTTTAAATCGGATAACCAGCGGATGCCAGGCAGGATACGCCCACATTTTCGAGAGATGGATAAAGAACAAGCTAACAAGAAAGTGATAGTTCCTACAAGCAAGGGCCATAATTCAGGAAATTACAATTTGATATGCGCATATAGCGAAAGGAACTGAACGAACGGCAGCCATTTTGTCTGTGAATTTTGGGCCGATTTTCACGAAATTCGAACTCAGTCGTCCTCAGGGTGTAACGGTGATATAAAAATACGATTTTTTAAATCGGATAAAAATTATGACCTCTATAGGATCCACAAGCTACAAACGCAATTTTTCGTACAATCAGGGGCCATAATTCAGGAAGTTACGGTCCGAAATGCGCGAATATCGAAAGGAACCGAGATCTTTGGGTTATAGACTTACATTTCAAGTTTCAACAAAATCGGATAAAAATTGTGACCTCTATAGGGTCCACAACCTTAAAGGGACAATAACACTCTTGCTGGCTTGAAAACTCTAGAAAATAAATAATATCTCTATCTAAGTACTAGATGTTTAAGTGTCCTACCTGTTGTGTAAATTATCCATTACATCCTATTTTACTTGTCCAGAGGGTTAGAAAATATTTTTAAATCGAAGTTTCATTTGAAAAGGTTTACGTTAGACGTTTCAAACCATTATTAGGGTGACCCACCATAAATAAATATCTCCATATATCTCGACAATTACGCCACAATATGTATATATATGCCAAGCCTCAAATCAGTTTCACACAATTATAGTCACTAAATAAACGATCATGTTGTACTTAATAAGCTATGACCATTAATCATGTATAAATAATAGACTGAAAACTGGTTCCAAGAGTCATCCATAACATCCAGACACTTTTGAGTAAAAGATAGGTTACGTGCCCTTGTTTTGAAATAAGTCTCGCTTAACCAGTCTATCGACCATTCTACGTCTGATTGACAGGTCGGGATAATCAAGACTACTTTTTTACGAAACATAACAGAAAGCTAGAACAAGAAATTGAATTTAGAAATAAGCACGTTAGGTAGCTCAACAATCGTTTTAAGAAGCT